TTGAAATCCAAATCTATAGATTTCAATCACTAAAATTCTTTGAAAGTAGGACCTTCATACATTTATTGCTCATATAGTCGAGCTTGTAGTGCCACAGACCTGTGTCCATATTGGTTCCAACCACATCAACAAATTTCATCAGTTCAATAATCAGGTAGAGTGTTCCTTCAATGTTGCCTCAAGCCATCATCATTGCCCCTTGAACACCTTTCATGAGTCACTTGTGAAAACAGTTACATACCTTAACTTTGACAATTGACTTAGAGATCATATTTCTCTTTATACTTAAAACATATTAGACTCCATTGAGCTTCCAGACTGTTTCAGTTAACAACGTGAAATCCACATCACTCTTCTTATAATGTTGCAAACATTATTATCTCCCTATTTAATCTTTTGTAGATCACAATGAGTGTAACTCTTAATCACCTCATTATTTAGGCATGCATGAAAAGTGACTTCTGAATCTGCGATCTATGATTCCGTGCTGATTAGGGATAAAACCAAAAAGTCACCATAGAATTTGTAAGTGAAGAAATTTATAAAGAGATTCCTTTCTTTTCCTCTACCACCAACCTTCATTGGAGCTTTTGCATTTCTTCTTAAAATGCTCTTTCTTCTCCCAGTTCCAACATTCTCCTCTTTCATTTTCTCTTATGGACTTGAATCCGTCTTGGCCTATATTTCTGTCAAGATTCCTTGTCTGATTTTTAATATTCAATTCAAAACCTGAAGATTTACTATTTGATGTCTTTCTACGAACGTATTAAGTCAACACAACCCCACGATGTCATTGAATTTCAACTTCATATTCCCCGAAAAGTTACTCACTGCCATGACTAATCCATATAGGTTGTATGACAATGAAAATGGAATTAATAATGCATTGACCTCGTCATCAAATTTGATACCCATAGAGCATAAATGACTGGTCACAATATTGAAATTGTTCAAGTGTTCAATCACTGAACTGCTTTTTGTCATCTTCATTTTGAATAACCTATATAAAAGAAAAATCTCATTTGAAGCAGCAGGTTTTTTATATATCTTTGTTAGTGTGGCAATGAGACTCACCATGAATTTGTCATTCACTATAATGAATGTAACAAATGAGAAAGTGGCAAATGGATCACACTTATGTTTGTTTGATCCAACACTTCCACTTCCTTCATAGTCATCAATTCAAGCTTTTTAGTGATTCCTTGTAGAAACAAATATAATTTTTTTTTTATACAAAAATTTCTCAACTCACATCCACCTTAACATGAAATTCAATTCATTGCACTTCTTTTCTTTGTGTCTAGCTTTGTTGATCATTTTATCCACTCTAATCAAACACCCCGCTCGATTACCACTTGTTAGAATGAAGAATTACTTGGAGATTCATTGATTCACAATCAATACCACACTGTGAAAAATAGGAATATGGATTTGATAACTCTGAAAAAAAAAATTTGAAAAGAAGCACAACAAAGTAATCTATGAAAAGCATATTAGGATCTACGTGAAAAAAATTGAGAACGGTAAGAAACCATGGAATCACGTCACACCAAAAATTTACTATGAATGAGAGAAAAGTACATATTACACCACTCAAATCTTCTCTCTAAAATAGCCAGGGCTTACAGAACTTCACTTCAATCTCTTGATCGCACAAGCGAAATTGCATGCCATCCACCTTCAAACTTCATTCCTTCTATAGAAATCACTTCAAGATCATTGCTCGCACATTCATCGCATTGTCATTCTGAATCGAGAACTTAAGAACCAAATCCAAAATGAACTATCTCGATGGTCTAGATATGCCTAGAAGAGGCGTAACTATTTCGCACGCTCAGGAAAAAAAAGTTGAAAAGTAGGAACCAGAGGCGTAGTTACGCCGTTGTTTGGCATAAGTACGTCATCTGACATAACTACGCCCATTTTAAGGGTGGTTGTGGCAACTTTAGGTGCAACGCCATAATCAAGCATATGAGCACCTCTTTGGACGCATTTGAGTTATCTTAATTCAGACTGCATGTTCCACGCTCCAACATTCACACATCCCAATACCATATTTTGCATGTTTGTGCTTTGCATACTTGCCTCCTTGCCCCCCTGCATGGAGGGGTGTATACGAGCCGAACACAAGCGAGCCCAAACTCAGCTCGTGTTCTCCACGTTTATATTTCGGCCTCAAAAAATTGTTTATGTTCGGCTCGTTCGCTTAGTGAGTCTTACACGAGTCAAACACAAGCCGTTCACGAACAAAAGTCGTTTTGACAACCTTAATCACATAACCGTAAGATGTTAAGGATTGAGGCCAGATTTAAAAATTTTTGTTTATATTAAAACATCATTTGAATCTAATTTAATATTTTTTATTGTAGTTTCTTATTTAATACTTTTAATTGATTATAAATCTTTGTAGCCTTGTAGTCAATTAAATTTTTAAAAAATACAATTCATCATTATATATATAGCCTTGTTTTCAATTAATTTTTTTTAAAAATACTATATATATATATAATTGATGAGTAGTATTTCTAGCCAAAACGAGCAGAACACGTGTTCACTCGTTAACTCAGCGAACGAGCCAACACGAGTTGTTCGCGAACAACAAGTCGATTTGACAGCCCTGCCTGCATGCTCCTTTCTTAGAGGAATGTTATTTATGTACGGAGGACGCAGACAGCTCTCCGTACGTAATCCTCTCCCAATAACCTCTGCGAAGATTATTGAGGGGTTATTGCAGAGTTATTTCAGCGTTATTTGGAGTCAATACCTTCCAAGGTTAACTTTCACATTCCGCGATTACACTTTCACATTTTCTCTGATGTTAGGGTATTGACTCCAAATAACATAGAAATAACTCTGCAATAACCCCCCAATAACCTTCACATAGGTTATTGAGAAGTCGTTGGGAGGGGATTATGAACAAAGAGCTGTGTGTGTTCTCCGTACGTAAATATTTACCCACTTAGAGACCTACAGTTGTCCAAGTTACATAGAGAATAATTGTAATAGCACATGAGGAAAGATAGTTAATGGAAGGCTAAATTTAGAAGTTAATTATTTTAAATTGATATTCAAGAAAAATTTTAAAATCAAGTTAGTCTTCATGTCAGCTGGCGGAAAAATTATTGCATACGAACACCGCATGCAGAGATGTATGTGGTGTCCGACCCTGACCGTAGATCACGGTCAGAATGCAATCAAAATTTTTTTTAAAAAAAATTTAAAGTGGGCCCCACCAAAATACATTCTGACCTTAGATCACCGTAATCTATAGTCATGATTAGACACGCATGCATCTCTGCATACAGTGTCCGTATGCAGTAATTTTTCCAACTGACGGCCCACGTGCGTGCAAATACGGCCAAGTGGCCGGCTACCTGCAAATAATTGAGGTCACGAGAATTGAAGGTTCTTCCAATTTTTTGTCTGCCTTCCATTTTTTTGTCTGCCTTTGTTGGCTCCCGTAGATTTGAAGAAGCTCAAAAATAGAGGACTTTCTCTTTGCATCATAGTTGGAGTTATTTGGCAACTCAGGTTTTTGGCATGCAGCATCATAGAGATAACCAGCATTTTGTTTAATAAAAAAGGGAAGCTCCAGAATTCAGAAAACTGGCTTCGTATGATGGATTATTGTTATCATATCTGGTGAAGACTATTAAGCTTCTCAAATATACTATCGAATCAAAAACATAAAATTACAACTGTGAAGTTGCCATGTTGAGAGTCATCAGAGACGTTGCCACAAAGCAGTCTCTTTCAAAATTAAATAAAAAGCCAATTACCTGTATGATACTATAATGCCAAAAGCATAAAACTACAAAACCAACAGAAAGAGGAAAAAATATTAAGTGCGGATAGAATAGGTGCGGATATGTGCAGATTTGATGATATTGTGATAGTATTGTCGTGATATTCACTATAATATTGTTGTGATATTCACTATAATATAATCACAATACCATCAATCTATATATACGAATTCAGCTCGTAATATTCACTCTATGAAGAGTCACTTAATCCCCCAACTTAGATGTCAAAGAAAGTTCTTCGTTATTGAAACGAGCCGAGCACGAGACAATAGCTGTTCAAGAACAAAGCTCGTTTTGACAACCCTAATCACGCAGTCATAAGATGTTAAGTGGTGGGGCAAGATTTAAATCTTATTATTTGTATTAAACCATCATTTAAATATAATTTAATATATATTTATACTATTTTTTTAATTAATAATTTAATTGATTATATGTCTTTACAGCCTTGCTGTTAATTAATTTTTTTAAAAATTCTACTTATCAATATATATATATATATATATATATATAGTTGATGTGTAGTATTTCGAGCCAACACAAATGAACAAAAATCTCTTTTAGTGTTCTGCTCGTTTATGTATTGAGCACCAAAAAAATATTCATATTGGACTAGCTAACTTAATGAACGAATCCAACATGAGACAAATCAAATATGAAAGTCTATATTCATGTTGGACTAACTAACTTAACGAACGAATCCAACACGGGACAAATCAAATATGAAGGTCTGCCAACAACGAGCCTAATAAAAACGGACTAATGTGTAAAAGAGTCCGTTCCTGTGAATTCAATCATTGAAGTTTAGGAAAAATCCGTGGCAGCTGTCACGTCAGCCGGCGATCCGTCCTCTATCATTTAAAGTAATTAGTATTCAAAAACTGCTATTTTTGAATATTTAGTATTAATGGAATGCTGGAGTGCGTGCTTTTGAATCTTTATTTTAATTTCAACGGCTGTCGCGCATTCGAGCATTTATTATACAGACGGTGTGCAGACAAATTCCCAAATGTCCCGCTCTGCTTTTTCCCGCCATTAATACAGAGCCCCTCTGCTCTCTGCTCTCTCCTCTCTCTCGCTCACATCTCGCAATTCCCTTCCTCTTTTTCCTCAGGTAGGTTCTGCTACCGACTCCATGCGTTGCTTTTCAGCTAAAAGTCTTCGTGCTTCCTTTCAATGGCTGTTAGCTTACCAAAACAATATATAAATAAATAAATCCTTTCATGCAGTCTGGGCGTTATATCTGTTTTTTGACTTCTTTTCAGATCTACCTGTAGTTTTTCTTCTCTAGATTGTTTCGTTTTGGAGTCCATTTTCCTGGAATTTTTAATGGTCCAATGACTGGTTTTCTTTTCTTGCTTCAGATCCGTTGTTACTGATTGCTGGAACATGGGTGGAGTTTGCGCTGCGATTCTTGTTGGCATTTTGTTGGGGTTTTCTCTTCTTGCAAATGGTCTTAACCTGTGGCCGATGCCGGCTTCAGTGAGCTATGGATCGAGCACACTTTATTTGAGCAGAAATTTCCGGTTGAGAACTGATGGGAGCAAATATTCAGATGGTTCCGGGATTCTCAACGATGCCTTCTTGAAGATGGTTGATGTTATCGGCGATGCTCATGTAATTGATGGCATTGTGCCTAGCTCTGGTGTGCTTGATGGATTGCACGTTCAAATTTTATCGGAAGATGATGAGGTATCTGTTTTTTTTTTTGCTGTTTCTGGTTTACGAAGTGGGAAATTTCGAATATCTGAAGCTTTCTCGCGGCAAACTGGGTTGATTTACTGTTTAATTTCGTTCTTCAAACATCAAACAAATTGAGCAATCTGTGAAACTTTTTGAAGTGGTAAAATTTATCTGGAACTTTGTAGGTTCTGTGATTTTATATTTTGTAAAGCTGTTGGGCTTCTTTGGTTCTTTAATTGCTGCATAAGCCGTCACTATTGAAGTGCCTTATTTTTTATTTATTGGTTTAGCTGGAAGTGCTGCAATACCACTTGCCAACAAGATAAAGTGGAAAAAATATTTCATTAATAAAACGAACATGGACTTTTGTCTTTCAATAAAGTGCTGAATTTTTATTTTTTTATCTTCATCAATTTTAGTTTAAATTTTGACGTTCATTGAATTGTTTTTTGCTGAACAACCTTGAAAGCACGCTAGCAAAATCTTTTTTTTTTTTTCGTACAAAACAAAATTACAATTTATATGCATGATTTATTTAATTGTCTAGGGAAGAATATGGATATTCTGTTTGGCTCTGCTTTCGCATCAAGACATTAACTTAGACTTGCAGATAATTAAAATTAATATGGCATTAAAAAGTTCATCGGATCAAGCATGAATTTTGATTCCATTTTCTTAATCCCAATGTTTCAATTTATTTGAGCAAAAGGTTTGGAAATTGATTTTAAGATCGAAACTTTATATATTTTGTAGTTGAGATAATTCGTTCCATGAGATGAACCTAACGATACCAAGAACATCTTAATCCAAGTCCATCTAAGCTTAAATTAATAACTCACAAGTATAATTAGACACTTTTTGAGGCCATTTGAATGGGTAAATATTCTTTGAAGTTTCAGTGCTTATAATGGATGAAAGCTACTCAATGACATGAATCTAATGAGTGCAAGGTCACTTAAATCCGGTTTTACTAAAGCACTAGAGGTGTCCAAATAACATATTTGATTAAGGGGAACTTTTTTGGACGACTTGATGGACAATCCATGGTTTTGTATAAATGATTGTAATGCTCACTCCATAAATATCTAATTAAATCCCACTCCTAGATATTTGGGGAAAACCCAGACTTGGAGAATTCTTTAGCTTTGATTGTTATTTAGAACCCCATTCATCCACCTTTGGTGCTTGTGTTAGAATTTATTGCCTTTCCAAGATACCATCTCCTTGGGTGAATATCCATGTTGACCACCTTCCTAATGTTGACTTCCGACATCAATATCTGTCTCTACTGGTGAACATACCCGAAATCCATCTTTACATATTTGTAATCACAAACCATCAATTAACTTTGACGAAGGTCATCTCACATCCTTTGTTGACCACCATCATTAATGTGTCAATGTCCATTACAGTGATCCTTTAATGCTTGTTGTCATTTGGCATCCACAGTCGGCTGATGCTTAGAATCTTCATCACTCATCACCCGATTACTATTGTCACTTGTTTGTTGTTGTTTGTCATATACTAACATCAACAATTGTAGTTGCTCACTCTCTAATGTTATTATTGATTAACATCGACATGCCTAATCATATCTTTTTAATATTCAACTTGCATAGTGAAACTTTTCAATTGAGTTAGGCCTGATAATTTTTCCCCTACTAGTTTTTTAATGTAAAAAATCACTCATTTGCATCTGTTGTGGGCTATTTTTGAAAGATCTTTTGTTCAATAATAAAATGATATACTCTTTTTTTCAATTGCAATACACTTCCAAAATTAGTATATAAAAGGATTAAAGTATTTTTGAACAAAAAAAAAGGTTGGAACAACTAAAAGTAGAGCACCCTTCTAACCTAATTGAAATGGCCTAAGACCCCAAATTGGCTTTGTAAGCTTATTGGTGGATCCTAAAATTTTTTTTTTCCTGTTAATGAAGGAAGGATTGGATTTATGGTTTTAAGATTGCTTTTAAAAATATCTATAATACACTTGAAACTATTTTTTCTATGATCAAACAAATTCTCTTGTTGTTGTGCAGTTAAACTTTGGCGCAGATGAAACTTACAAGCTATCCATTCCTGCAAGCAACAAAGAAACGTACGCCCAAGTTGAGGTAAGTGAAACCTTTTCTTATTTTATAATTGCTAACATTAACTAATTGTTTCCTCTGATGACGAAGCAATCAAACTCAAAAGTTAATCAGTTACATTTTACCTCTTCATGCTCGAACTAGAAGGAAAAATATTGGAACCAAATTGTTTGTCTTATTCTATGTATCTGTCTAAACAATTCTTGATAGTAGTTACCTTATTCCTACCAATTTTTAGAACTTCATGCCATTCTTCGCATAACTCATTGTTCACGCAAGAAAACTTCAGCAGTTTTTTCTTTGATGATGTCGATAATTTAGAAAATAATATCATGCTCCTTTTTGTTTGTGTGACCTCTTAGTTAAGGAAGAGACAAGAAATCCAAATGGAAGGGGTTGTTTGTTTGATATTTTGTTGAGAATTTAAATTAAGCATTAGTCACGGTTTCGTAAGCTATACGACTAAATTAAGCTTAATATGGTTCCCACTTGGTGTGCATAAAATATTTAGTATTTGATGTGGAGAAAAATGGAATTAATCTCGTGACCTCCATAATGGAGTTAAACCTTGTCCTTGGAAGGGTGGATTAGGGCACCGACATATTTCCCAAATAGGATAAGCGAATTTGGAATTGTTATTCTGGTTATTGATTATGATGAGGGCATAGATAAGTAGATTTTTCTAAGCAAAAATTAGTTAATTTAGTTGGCAACAATAAAAAAATACACACCTTTAAAATTAATACAATTATTAATTACATAATTAATATCTTAATCTTCAATCATACAACCTTGTAGAGCCTCTACAAAATTCATTTATAGGGTTGTAATGAATTGAGCATTTGACAAGCTACTTGTAACTCGGCTCGATAAGAACTCATTCATGTTTGTTTGATTAACTAATTGAACAAGTTTGAACATTTTTGTATATGCTTGATTGTTACATGAACAAAGTTGAACATCTCGTTTGATTCGTTTATGCTCTCAAACAAGAAGCTATATAAACAATTTCATTTAAATTTCATAAATAAGATTGATTTAATGTTTTAAGAATAAAATTAGTTAAAGCTTAATTTAAACTTGTGAGTAAGCTCATTTAAATCTTAATCTAAATTTATTTATATTAAATAAATTAAATTTTAATTGTTAGTACATAAAACAAGATAAAGACTTAATTGTTGAGTTCATTTATTTTACACATTTATATGCTTATTTTAGTTATTCATTTAATAGCTTATTCATTTAAAAGCTTATTTATTTTTGTAAATTCAACAAGTTCCTCATTTCAATAAAGCTTATTTCATTAGAAAATAAATAGTTCAACAATACTACTCATTATTTTGTTAGATAAGTCTTTTTTAGTTAGAATATAATCAACATAATAACAATAATGTTAATTTCCTCAAAAATTATTATTTAGAGAGAAATTAAGTAGCTCTATAATTTACTCATTAATTTGCTTCATAATGACTCAATTATATAATATGAAACGAGCAAGAGCCAAACTAAGCTTGAACATAAACTCAAAGCTCGATTAGAGGTCGAGCTTGAGCACAAATTTTACAAACAAACTCAAGCTTGAACATTTACCCAAAAGCTTGATTTGAGCTCGAGCTCGACTCGAGCTTGAATTTTATAAACAAGCTCAAGCTTAAAAAAAAAACCCTGCTCGACTCGGCTCGGTTCGTTTGCAGTCCTATCCATTTACTTCTACATTGTTTTAGAAATTATTAGTTAGAATTCATATTTATTAGCTCGATTTTCCTATGAATTGAAAGGAAATTCCAATGTTTTTGTTTATAGTTTACATTTATTGTGACTATAAGTCTTGTACATTTCCTTGCAATTTTTGTTGCCCTCTCATATGTTGTATGGTCCGTATGGAGCTTCTTAGCTCTACATACAATGGAAAAGAACTAGGTGATCAAGAATGCAAAAAAATTTATGAAGGTTGAGGTTGAACTTTGTTGGATCCAATGCTTTAAGGAATACTCTTAATAATTTATTGCAAGCACAAGTCAAGCCCAAAGGGAAGCGAGGAAAGATTTATAGAGCTAGAGTTGTCAGAGAATCTTAGATGGATTCCAATGTGGTAAACTTTTGCTTTGAGCATAAGCTTACTTTCTATCCACAGAAATAACCTCTAACATCATGTGTCAAGCAATGGTTAAATTTCACTAGTATAGAATATGCCACACAAAGAATGCAGTAAATATGTTGAAGCCAAATTTATTTGTTGAGTCACACTTCAAGGAAAGAGTTAGGAAGGAGTAAAATAGTGAGCTGAAGAGAGGAAATTGTAGTGTTCACTTGGAAAGAATAGAGATATAGTGTCAATGGAATCATTAACCATCTCTTGTTACATAGATTTCCTCTATTTATTGAGGATTTTTTCAAATATAATATGAATAGGTTATCATTACATATTGATCTTTAGAGATCTTTGACATATCTTCTTTTATCTTCTTCTAGCGTTGGCATGTAATTAAAATTATCTTTGGCATATCATTCTCTAATAGTGTTATATTTTGTCCTATGTTCCCTGTGCTTTCTTTGGGTTACATCCTAATTAGTCTGTTTCGCTCCTGAGATATTTCTCACTGAGCTAATTCAAACTTGAAGCAAATTAGTTTTCCTTTGGTTATGTTGATCCAAAGATTATGAAATGGTTTGAGTCATTTAATCAGATGTGCAACTTAAGCTAGACAGATGAGAGGATAATATTCGTCTAGCGGCCTACACTTCACAGCTCATGCTTTGGCAGCTTGTACTCAACAGCTCATACTTGACAACTGATACTTGACAGCTCATCAATCCTAGCTTTGATAGTTGAGCTAAGGAACATGGAGGTCTACCTTAGTGCATCATCCAGATCTTGATCATGAGTGCAGTATGACCCCATTTTGGCTATACAAAATTTAATTTCCTGATTCTTTTATCTCTTAAAAGGCAAACCCGAGACAAGAATAAGAAAATAATGACAATAATCAATTTAAAAAGTTTTTGGGAATACATCAAATATATTATTTAATTAAACTTATTACATGTTAATAACTCCCTTGAAAATGGGCTATTAATCTCTTATAAAGAAGGTGATAGGGTGTTATCTGTCGCATATTTCAATCCGTCACCTTTTGTCCACATTGACCTATGCTTTTAGGTTTTGTTCCATGATTCATTATGATGAAGAAAATTTTATAAGAGTATACTGATATCCTTACCTCCAAGCTTCTTAAAGGTCTATTTTTCAAACATTTGAGAGAAGGTAAGTCGAAGAGGAAGAAGAAGATGGTGAAACAATCAAAGGAGCACTCAGCTCCTTCGTGTGAACGTGTACCTTTTGTTATTTTTTCTATCGCCATGGATATCTTAAAGAAAGTTCCTTTGGGGGTTTTACTTTGACAGATTAGGGTCTTGTTGTGAAGTTGTTGGTACCCTTTCCAGTGTAGGCTGATGTTAGCGGGTCATGTGGTTTTACTATGGTATGCAGCTCTAGTGTGGGTATAGATCACATGGAACAGAAAAATTTGTAGCACAATATATATAGAAACTGAAAGTATTTTAATTATTATTTATTACTTTTGTCTTTTTTTTTGTAGTTGTTTTCACACTTGGCGTGTTTATGGGCAATCACCATGAATGGGAGCCCGATACTATTTTATATGAGAAAATTTAATTTGAATGTGGCGTTAGGTCATTTCTGAGGGAGAAGCATCTAAAGAGCTGTTTTACTAAATTGGCATAATATAAAGAGCAAACTAAAAGATGGCACAATCTAGAGTGTTAAAAAATAATTTAAAATTGGACAAGTAGCTGTTTTACTCAAGTCTAGATTGAAATTATTTCTAGGCAAATTGAAGTACGATTGCCAAAACATTTTGAAGTAGGTAAAATTTCTTCTTAAGGAGTATTTGGTATTCAAAACAAGAATAGTGTTCATATCTTTAAGGTGAACAAACAAAGACTAAAACATTATTGGGGAGCAAAGGTGAATCAATATAAATTATCTATTAACTTGGTTCATCTTAACTAAAATTTGGCATAAGCCTAAGGACTATAAATTAAATGTTGCTTAGAAGGAATCAGATGTTGCTATGTTTATGGTGAATTTTAACTTAATTTCAATCTTTAGTGTAAATTTTGAATTTCTAACAAAATTTTTTTTTTCTCTAGATAGCACTTGTGCTTGTTAAGTAGCATCAAGCACGTATGCACTAGTTGTGTGGCATTGTAGTTGTGGTTATTGTAAATGTTTGTATATTGTTTTGATAGAACAACAACGCTTGTTTATATGCACAATGGATTCAGTTTTATAATTTTATTTTATTTTTATTTTGTTTTGTAATTGTGACATGTGTGATTATTTTTATCGTTTAATAGAAAAATAATAGTTGACTTTGACAACAGTGTTGCGGTGCTAGTTTTGGCTAACATTAAATGTTAGTTGAGTCAAAAAAATAAATGTCAGTCAACTAACTCGTGATAGTCATTATAACCTTGAAAATTTGGGCGTAAAGTTAAGACACTATGGGTAAGCACTATGAGGCTCCATTATTTGGTCTAGCCGTTTGATCGTCTTTTTTGTGGAAAATTTAAGGTGAACAATAAATTCTATTCTAAATTTATCAGTCATGTGATTAAATTTTGGAATTTTTGATAGATGGATATAGCGCCTAGGTGTTGTTATAATAGCGTTGTTGGAATTGAAGTCCTTGAATATTGTCAGAAACATCAAGAGAACCAATACAAAATTGCTCCAAACCAATTTGGCTATACTCTGTATCTATTTATGTATTCCATCCCTTCATGTTTTCCATCTTCTTTTTGCCTTTTCTCTGAATTTATATATGCTTACCTTTGATCGTCAACTTTTACAGAAAAAGCTGTATGTTGAACTTCGATTTCAAGAGAACTGCGAAGTATTGACAAACTTATTCTTTTAAACCTATAAAGCACTGACACAAACATGTGACACAGACATGACACGATATAATACAACATGTCATAATTGAAAAAAAGTATTGCATGACTCATCCTATAGACATTTTTTTATTTAATAAATTATTAATATACATACATACATACATATATATATATATACATACATACATACATATATATATATATACATACATTATATATATATATATATTCATTATTCTTTTCACAAAACAATGTATGCAGGTATTAAATTTAATTTTATAAATTTAAATTGTATTATAAAATCTCATATGTATAATAATCAATTTTTAAAATTAAATGAATACCTCCAATTTATCTACTAAAATTTAAAATATCCTAAGATTACACTTATTTAATTAATTAAGTTAAAATTTAACTTTTAGAATAATAATAAGTATATATTTATAACTCTTAACTCATTCATGAATAAAGAAGCTATCACTTACAAAATTAGGGAAGCTTTAACTTCACTTGGTTTGACGAACAGAAGCTTCAACACAAGCACGACAATTTCGCGAGAGATTTTGATCGACTTCGGCGAATAGGTTTGAATCTTGCTTAAGTTGTGACAGAGAAATTTACAGCTTCTGCTTTAGTGGGAGCAGTTTTGGCTTTGATGAACAAAAGATCACTCTAATGCTTGGCTTCGACAAATGTTGGATGGACTTTTGATGCTCAACTTTGACAAAAAAAGGAACTATCGATACTTGGTTTTGACAAATATTTGATAGATTTCGATGCTTGGTTTTGATGCATGTTAGAGAGTTTAGACACAATAAAAGAGGTGGCAGCTTTAACTATGTGATATAATTAGGGCGACTCTTATAATTAGGGCTACCCTAAAAATTTAAAATATTTGTATTTATTATTATTATTTGCTAGAGACTTTTAGGGTTATTATTTTAACTAGAGAGTTTTAACCATTCATTTTTAACTATAAATAATGTCGTGTCTTCAACCATGCATTTTTTGTTTTTATTTGATAACTATGCTAGGTTTTGCATTTTTTGTATGTTTGATCTTAATTTTTAAGTTATCAAATAAAAACATTAAAATTTAATTTAATTTAAACTATTTACTTCATAATTTCCATTTCGTCAAGTTTTAGGCTTTAATTTTACATGAGTTGTTGGATCTCTAGGGATAGTTCATTCTTTGTTAATATTATTATTATATATTTTTTTTTTTTTTGTAACTACAGATAATGAACATGAAGTGTTAAATCATGTCTCCACATGAAGTCTTGCAACACAAATTTTTTTTTTTGTAACTACAGATAATGAACATGAAGTGTTCATGTCTCCACATGAAGTCTTGCAACACAAATTTCCATTGCTATTTTGAAGAAGTTTCTCCTTATTAATATGGTTGATATTTTCAGGCACAAACTATTTATGGAGCACTTCATGCTTTAGAGGTATTTATTACAAAACCTCACAAAGGATTTATGAATTTCCAAATTGATTTCTTAACATATCCTGGGTGTTTAATGTTGCAGACTTTTAGCCAATTATGCTATTTTAATTTTACTAGCAAAATTATTGAGCTTCATTCAGCACCCTGGAGGATTATAGATCAACCAAGGTTCCCTTATCGTGGTCTTATGATAGGTGAGTTGCCTCATAAAATTATGGTAGTATTTGTCTTATCATCTTTGTTGCAGTTCCTTAAATTCTAGTGAATTTGATTATATGGAATTTTTTTAAGCAGTATTATATACCAATTTAAACATAATTTATCTATTATGATGTTATGCATCTATTGTGAAGAAGGATTCTCACCAATCAACCTTATATTTCATCATGTTTCCTATCAATAGACTAGTACCAACTCTTTAACAGAAAGAAGGAAAAATAAACAAAACCAAACTAATGCTTTAGTGGTTGCTCACATTTTTTGTTTTATCAACCCTAGTATTATGTACCATATACATCATTCACATGATTTTTTAATCAAACCTGGTATTATGTACCATATACATCGTTCATATCATTTTTTGATGTTCATTGTCTATTTTAAAAAATGATTGAAAGTTGGGAAGTTTATGGGAGGTAGGTTTCATCGTAAGAAAGCAGATGTCATTTTCATTCTGAATGATAATAAAGGATTAAGGAGTTGAATTTCTTCTTTTTTTTTGAACTTCTTGGTTATTAATTTTTAAAAAAGATAATCATGGTGCGCTTGACTTCTATGGGTTTGATCGGGCCGATTTCCTGAGAATTTTTTAGCTTTCTTAAATTTCCACTTAATATCAAATTGAAAGAAATAATTTTTTTCTTAATGCTCTTTTTAAATATTTTCATTTTCTTGTTCATCAGTAAAAGTTTGAAAAATCTGTCTTGTAAATCTTCAAAAAATGAACAGGTTTAATCTTCATAAAAAGTTCAACATTTGCACTCAGTGTGGTTCTACATGTGGCTTCATTTTATTCAAACTTTACAAATTTGAAACTCTTCTTGCTTTAAACAATAAATAGTCCATTTTATATAAATCTTTCAAATATTTCCATTGAAATGCATCCATAGCAATTTAAATACATGCTTCTTTACTTTTTCTCCTGTCATCTCATTTTTTCTATTGCATCATGAATAAAGAGGCCTACATACCATTCCTAATATATACAAAATTTTCTTTAACCTGAGGGTGCTCGTATACTGCATTCAAATTATTCACAATTAGTATATAATAATAATAATAATAGATCCTGCCAATTTGTTCCATATTAAGGTCAACTAAGATATTTTCTTACTGCAGACACATCAAGGCATTATCAGCCGCTGTCAGTAATTAAGAAGATCATTGATTCCATGGCCTACGTGAAGTTGGTAACTTTATATACTTTACATTGATTACATATTATATTCCACCTTCATATTGTTTTTTTCTTACCTTTTCTGCTTTTGTTTTATTTTCATTTTTACCTCTTCTATGAGTAGCTCTTGTTATTAGTCCTATTATACAATTACTCGCGGGAAAAAATTCATTAACACTACTGCTCAAGTTCAAGTTAGACAATTACATACAAAAAATGAAACCAATATACAATTAAGATATTTATAACAAGAAGGGAGAGCGGTTTCAAAATATTGAAAGCCGCTATTGTTTTCTAATGCGTTACCTGAATTTTTTTTTTGTCTGATATATGTAGGGAGGATGTTGAGTTGAGTTGAAGGAGTCATCCTTTCCTCAGCATGATAGACTTTGGTTTGGGTTGAGTCAATTTTGAGTTTCTTAGAAATGATGGATTAAAGTCAACTTTCGAGTTCATTCAAGCCAAGTTTATTTATTTTAAAAATATTTTCTAGTTTGAGGTAAGCATTTTAATTTAAAAATAAACAATTTCCTAAATTCTAAACTGTCTTTTATGTATTTATGAAAATAATTAAAAAATCTAAAGATACAATGATGAAAAACTCAGGTTGACAATTTTAACTCTTAAATGATAGGACATTTTACAATCTTTTACTTATATGCCCATCATCTTTGTGAAACTATTTTTTTATAGCAATTTTTTATTATTGGACTCTTTTCTTAGCAAAGAATTATCAAATTTTTTTATGAATGAAAATTGCAACATGGCGACGAATGATGGAATACACACTTGCACGGTCTCAAGTATCGATGACCAAATAAGGGCTTACTACACTAACAAGGGATTCTTAGCAAATCTTGTAGAGTTATTGATTAATCAAGGTGCAATTTATTTCTTAGGTCACTCAACACATTGTTATGACAGTAATTTGTCACATTTAATGTTCACTAGTGTTTGCTGTAAATGTAATTTGCATCGAATTCTTACCTACATTTGTTTCAAATGCCAACTGTTATTTTTACTTGACTTTCCTCTACTTAATACAATAAACATTTAAAGGGCTTTTAATTTTTTAGTATAAATTATCTTCTTTTATGCTAAGAAATGTTGATGGTTGATGCTAGTTGATAGTATGCTATAATTCATAATTAGACCCAAATTGTTGGATATGGCTAATGACGATATTAATGATGTTTATCTAATATAACTTCATCTTTATTTTCAAGCAGAACGTGTTACATTGGCATATTGTAGACAGAGAATCCTTCCCTTTAGAGATTCCTTCATATCCAAATTTGTGGAATGGTGCTTATTCTTACTCCGAGCGGTATACAATTGCTGATGCTCGTGAAATCGTTCAGTAAGTTTAATATTTCCTTAGTTCTTAGGAACCTAGTGAAATTCACCTATAGGTTTCTCTGCTTTTTGTAAAGTTTTTATGGCTTTTCATGAATGAGAGAATGAACTTGCAGGTATGCTCAAAGAAGAGGGATAAATGTTCTCGCTGAGATTGATGTGCCAGGGCATGCTGTTTCTTGGTACTTACATTGCTAGTTCTTTAAACTAATTGGTCTAAATGAGGGAAACCAATCTCATTAAAGATTGATAAATCATAGAGGCATTTTATAAACAGTTGGGACAAATTTCATAAATAAGTTATATATGGTTATTTATGTTGGATAGCATGCGTTTTCATGCCTGACCTTATTCCTAAACTGAGGAATAAAGAAAAAAAAAAGACTTGTCACAAAACAATTTCTTACAGAAAAAAATATTGATTTTAATTTCCAAGGTTATACTATTTTGTATCGATATCTAAAAAACTATGAAGTTTTTCTTCCTATTAAACTAAATAGAAATATAATGTATTATACCTTATTAGTACCTTCTAGACTTATACCTAAAATGAATGTCTACCTTTTCAGTATCACAATACCTAACATTCTGAAATAGAAGGCTATCAAAAATTAAGGTGTTCCGCATTGTGCAAATAGATTTAAACACATCAAAATAAATTAAACAATCTCATATATCAATAGTATTATTGGAAAATATTTACATGATTTATAAATAAATGATCAAAAGTTGATAATGCATTCTAATAAAGCTATTTTCAGTCCTGCTTATTCTTAATATGGTTTGATGAGTCATTTCCAACAAAGTCTTATGGTTGAAATCATCCTATTGACAGTATAGACTGGATGAAGTCGTTTCATTTTTTCTTAAACTTGATAAAAGCTTTTAGCAACTAACAGGAAGTGAAGCTTCTAATGTAAATAAAACATGGTTGTTTCTTTAGTCAGACTGCTTGGAGAAAATTCTGCAAGTCTCTCTCCAATTGGATAATGTTAACAGAATCCGATATATTGAACATTATTTATGTCAGAAGGTTATTTGAGCCAATAACTTATGATATTTTTCACCATAGGAAAGAGTATGTAATATGACGTCACAAAATTGAACCAGGCGCATTTAAGAACAACCTTTCTGCTACCAGTTGCTCCAAAAGGTTCCTTAGCATGAATACTATCCCAAACACTATGGCTTTTTTATTAAAAACACTGATAACATCCATTGTAGGAATGTAAGCCTAGTTCAAGCCTTCAAGCAAAAACTATGTAATATATGACACCTTATCTGCAGTCTCGTTAGAAAAAAATTCAGTTTAAGCTCCACTTCAGATTGCATTTCTATAAAGAACTAACAGATGTAATCTACAGGGGTTTGGGATATAATTCTTTATGGCCATCCTTTGACTGTCAAGAGCCACTCGATGTCAGTAATGAGTTTACATTTCAAGTTTTAGATGGAATTCTTTCAGGTAATTTTTTTGACTCCATACACATGATGACATATTAGGAATGCAATGATTTGTGGGTTTCAGTTAGCTTAGCTGATAAAGATTTTTACAAGTTGCTTTGGCTTTTAAACATTCTCGAAATAAAAGAACGTGTTAATGTATGGGACTTTGCACATCAATTCTTTATTCAGCAAAAAATGCACAAAGCACTTTTAAGTTTTCAAACTAACTTTCTTGTTGTAAAAACTGAAGAAAAATATCATCTGAGTGGCATGACTAGAAACATAATTGCACCAACATTCATGTGGCTTGCCTATCTTTAAATGTAAAATGATTGGCTTTTGATAGTTCATTCAAAATTTTAAATTAGTTGGGAAGATATTTACAGATGTCTTAGTTGACATCTTTTATTTGCTTCTTCAAATGATAATGAATGGTTCTGCTGAAAAGTGACTGATTTCGTGCTAAAATATTTCAGATTTCAGCAAGGTTTTCAAATTCAAATTTGTCCATTTGGGCGGTGATGAAGTTAATACAAGTAAGTTAATCATCTATAATAATTTTTTTTAATTTATATATTGATTGATATATAATCTCTATTGCTCGAGCTTAACCTAGACCGTTATGCCTCAATTAAAAGGCATTATGTATTGCATTTTGTTTGGGTTATTTGTGGGTTTCAGAATACTATTGGATGCATGTGTCCTACTCCAACTTTGGCAAATAGAACTTTTTGATTCAAACCCATGGTCTTGAGATCATATCAGGCCTACGCTGACACTTTCATTATTTCTCCATATGTTTAAAAAAAATAGTTTTAAATCCCTTCACCAATAGTTAGTTCTAGTATTTAGAACAGAAAATTTGCTATCAAACAATGGGGTTTATCCAGTTCCTCTTATTGCAACCACCTTAATCCATAAATTTGCAAGCATTAAATTTCACTTGAATTTATTTTCTGACTGAACAAGGAATGTTTCTATTAAGATCCATGAGACAGTGCAATCTCACATCGACAAGAAAATAGTAATTAGGCTCATAATATAAGTTTTTGGGTAGATGTTGCTCATTTATTATAATTGGTATCAGAGCCTATGATTGCCTAACAAGTGGTATCAGATATGATGGTTTGATTGGGTTTAGGTAGAGCTTGTGGCTCCCATGAATGTTGATGGCTTTTGCCAAAATCAAGCAAGGCGCATGAGTAGGTGACTCTTATGTTGGCTCCACATGGTTGAGTGGGCTTTTGGCGTATGATTAGTGTGGATGACTCGTATGAGATAGTTATTAAAATTTACTTAAGAGTGGAGAAATAACTATTGAGTTCCTAACTTAATAGCCATGATTCTTACCCATAGCCTAAATTTTGTCCCCCCTCACACTCTCTAACAATATTAGCCAAACAATGCTATTACAGTGAATAGTTCAAAACCTAGTAGTAACTATATATTTGTGATAAAAAGTTTATTTCTATTTTTATTTTCAGTTATTTTTTAGGTCATTTCATTCTCGTTAGTAAAATCGCTATTTTTTTTTTTTTTTTTTTTTGACAAAATCTAGCTTGTTGGAAGACTACACCTCACATAAAGAAATGGTATGCATAAACAATCCCAAACTTTTCTGTTCATCTATTTTCTTTTTCCTGATAAAGAAAATAAAATCTTTTTAGAACACATATAAATAGTACCTATTGGATTTCTTGTTTCTCTTTTTTCTTTTTTAATATATTTATTTTTGCATAATAAGTTTATGATTTTAAAGCATTATTTTAAATCTCAATGAGATTTCATTTAAAGGGCTAGAAGATGCTAATGTATTAGTTAAAAAGTACATTCATAAGCATTTAACATAATTATGTCCATCGCTGTAGCATTATATGCATACATCTACATATATGCATATATCTACACACACATATATATAAATGTGCGTGTGTGTCTATATATATATAATGTATGGATGTTTATGTATATAAAAAAGTATATACATAAATACATTAAAAAAAGTATGTATATAAATACATAAATACATGCGCACACACACACACAATATATATATATATATATATATATATATATATAATGTATGGATGTGTATGTATATAAAAAAGTATATACGTAAATACATAAAAAAAGTATGTATATATATACTCCACCAATAAATTTTCATCATCCGACACGAATCTCGAGACGATATTTTAAACATGAAACATTCAATTCTTGATATATATATTAAAGGAATGGAGAGGCTATTATACGAGCCCCAACCAACTCTTATGCGCCTAAAAATTAACTACACCCTACACTCGGGGGGGAATCTAACTGCAGACCGAAGGGTACTTACAACTGACAAGCAGATGCCCGACCAAATGATCTGAGTACGCGGCGCATATAAATATTTATATATATACGCAGACATATATATGTATCTGTATATATATATATGTATGTTTGTGTATATATCTGTAGATAAGTATATGTTGTATGTGTATCTCTATATACATACATATATATGTATATACTTATATATGTATATACCTATATTACATATAGCGGCGCTGAGTTCTCGAATATTTAGGCACATGGCGCGAGCTCTCATCATGAGGCCTAGCGCATCAGAAATCAGTATTTGAGTCTACCAAATATCAATTTCTTTTAAAGAAAAAAATAAATAAATAAATAAATAAATATATATATTAAAATTCAAAATAACATTGTGTAAGCTCTAAAAATACCATAATAAAAAGAAGCCATTCATGGTGAAATTAAGGTTCTTAAATGAAATGATATATGAAAGCTTTTAAATCATTCTAAAGAGAAGAAACTTGTTGAATGTAAATGATTTTTCAATTCTAAATACAAGGCCAATGGAATTATTGACTGATGCTACAAAATTTAAGTTGCAAAAAAATTCACTAGGACCTCTGGAATCTATTACCAAGAGATCTTTTCTTCTATTGATAAGAGTAACATAGATTCGGTCATGTTTTTTTAGTTAGAAATTCAGATATCCACTTCATCAATTATATGTAAACAATGTTTTCGTTGATAAAGACTTGGAAGGTGAAGTTGATTGATTAACCTGTCTTGGATTTGTAACTCTTAGCAATAAAAATCAAATGTTTAGAATTAATTTATCATTTTATGGCCTAAAATATTCATTAACAGCCTGATTTGGTATCCTCACGATGATGGTTAAAAGGCATGGGTTCTCTTAATGACAATTTGACCACTTAAGTTGTCACAATGAGGCCTGGGTGCTTAGACTATCAAGGCGTGAATAGACAGTCAAATAGAGAAAGGAGTATCAAAATAGTTTCATTCTTAAATAAAATCATCCAAAATATCAGAGTCATTCTAATTCATAAAACTTAATTTGTAAAACATACGTTGAACTTTAAACTTTTACAAGTGGAAGAAAAGTAATAAACTTAACATGTTGTACCCATCTCCTTGGGCTCCTTGACGTCTGTGTATAGTATCTAGGATCCATATATTCTAAAGGAGGTTTCCTTGGAAATGTCAACAATTAGAGGTATGAGTCAAACGATTTAATAAATAAAATCTCTCTAAATTACAATAATTAATATTTTTAAAATATTTTGTAAGAATTCATTCAACAATAATTAAAGAGACATTAAAGAAATCAATTTTATTATTATTTTTTATTTATTTTGTTTATAACATTTATTAATGGGATTCACAGTCTAAATGTGTATTAAAAGTGCACATTTAAAATATTTTCTAAACCCACCGAAATGGTTGCCAATCATTTTCATTTGTATTAAAAGTGCACATTTAAATTATTTTCTAAACCCACCGAAATGGTTGCCAATCATTTTCATTTTACATGCACGGGTACGTTGCTTCATTAGTCGTACCATATAGAGGTGACTCCACATATATATATGCATATATCTTTTTTTTTTCTTTAAAGGAAATCGGTATTTTGTAGAGACTTAAATACTGATTTCTCATGCGTTAGGCCTCATGATGAGAGCTCGCGGAATGTGCCTAAATATTCGAGAATTCAGCGTCGCTGAGGGTCGAATATGATTTTATTGAAATAGAAAGGATACATAAAGGTTGTATGAGAAGAGCCCAAAAGAGGCACCCTACCCATACGATAAAAGTGCAATAATATCCCGACAAAAAGATACAGATAGACTTAATAAAATGTAAAACAAATTTAAAACATGCAGAAAACAAGTAACTAGGAACGAACCAGTTTAGTCATGTCTCTTTCTCTAGTTTTAGGAGCGGAGCCAGATAACAAATTTTGAAGAGCTGTGTCATTGTCAGATGTAACCAAAGTATCATCCATTAAGTTTTCAAGTTGGAGTGCGCCCCAGGCCTTCTTTTTCCGCCGAAAAGTGTAAACTTGTCATTATTCATCTGAAAATTGGCTTATGTGATCCTCGGTCTGATTTGATGTTAGAACCACATAGGAGGAGAGGCAGTCGTTGCCACCGCGATAGGTTCCAGTGTATGTGAAGTGTAAATTGTAACTTCTGCACCTGATGCTTACTGAATAGGAACTGCGAGACTATCCTGATGTTCGGTTCGAACATTGTCCATTGTAGTATGGTCAGGAAAAGGGATCTCAGAGGCAGACACCAACTCTTGTCTTGTTGTTATTCCCTCATCACGTATGCGTTTTCAGGCACATGGGGGTTGCGCTAACAATATGTTCCTGCTTTTGACTATTAGTTCTCAACTGTGGGTGCAATCTGAAACATTTCTCCTGCGTGTGTCCAAACATCTTGCAGTGCTTGTAGTAGTAAAGTTTTTGTTCCATAATGATTTTTTGACAATAACCATTGTGAGCAAATCCAAGCCAGACTTCTTCTACATCTGGTAGTGTAATATCTCGTTCAATCAAAATCCTTGTAAAAGAGTGCCTTGAGAAATGAACTGTAGGTAAGTCTACCTGCAAAGGTTTTCCAAGGATAGTCTCAATTGTATATAAGATATGTAGGTCAAAGAAATGAAGCTTGAGTTCTGGTAATGAGAACCAGATAAGCGCAATTGGGGGTTCTTGAATGAGATCAAAATTAGGGATCCATTTGAGCAATTTCATATGTTTGCCCTCAATTATGATAAATTTCTTTGAGAAAATCTTCGTATAATCATCATCTATGCTCAACTGTATCATAACATGTCTTCCGTCGAAATGACTCACCTGTCAATCCCAGTTTGAAATATTCAAAAACCTTCCTGATGATCTCCATCTTATGACAACTTAATTGGAACTTTCCAACTAGTGTAAATTTGTATTTTCCTGCAAATTTCAGCGTCAGAGAAGAAAATTGCTGGTTTGCCTGTCTTTTTCTCTACTTTTTTTATGAGATTGCAATCGTTATTTCTTGAAACAGAATCATGATAAATCTGCGGGAATACTGCACTATCTGCGAGGTGGAAAGGGGAGCTGCGTTTGTGAACCACTGTAGCATAGGAGGGTTTGGCGGGATTATCACCGGCGACGACGACAGCATAAGAAAACCCTGAGGTCATTAGTGTGCTTCACACAAGCACTGCATCAAATGGCGCAATCGATACTTGAGCAGTTGAACAATCGAGCAGAAAATGTGGTTGAGCAGTCGAGCGGCCTTGATGAACTTGCAGCGACCCAAAGACGACTCATATGACGCAGCGGGCGAGTAGACGACGCAGCAGACCAGGCTCGTCGACGCGTCGACGCAGACGATGCAGCAGACAAGCAGCCTCGACGACGCAAACTCCTCCATCAGCCAGAGTCGAAAACGAAGACTGGAAGGATCAAAACGAGTGAACGAAAACAGACATCTGTTTCGTTTCGAGCTAGGGTTCGCCATGAACGGAAACTGACCGCGACTTTTTATATGCTTAAAAATATAAAAATTTAATACTGCTGCTAAAAGAATTAATTCCTCAGCAGCTGTACCAAAACTTAATAACAGTTATAGATTTGATAAATATGGATGTAATAAATATTCAATAAAAGTCACACTTATCATCTGTCACTAATAGACAATTGAAATAAATATGTAATTTTAATAATTATTAAATAACTAAATATACTAATGAAGTTTTTAATGTGGTATTCAATATATAATAAAACATCATTCTCCTTGTCCAGAAATTATAGTGAATGGATAAAGTGAATCAGTTCAAATTATATTGTGTCAAATAGGAGCATACCTATTTCATACCTTTTGGTCCGGGCATAAAAAATATTGACTAATCCTACGCTTGTTTACTGAATCTGCGGCTAGACTGGGAGGATACTGGCTCTCACTGCGGAGCTCCCACGTTCCCCTTGCCTGAGGGCTAACATCTACACTTCAGCACCCAAACGATAGGACCGAATTGGGGATTTTAGTCTGTCACTCTAAAATCTTCAATTCTACGCCCGATAATTTTATTTC